TGAGCCTCTCTGGTGGTCCAGGGCAGCAGTCTTTCGCCTTGTGGGAAGGCGATGTCGCCCATGGTCTTCGTATCCCAGGCTGGGCTTGGGATTTTCTTATCAGTGTCAGGTTCCTCTCCACCTCCTTCTACACAGTTTGCCAGCTGCCCTCACTATTCCCTCTCCACTTAGCCAAAGGGGATTTCTAGAGGCCACTCTCTAGAGCAGGTGTCCCATCACCCAGGAACACAGGCACTCCCCTCCACACCCCATTCCCCGCCAGCGATCTTCCCCGTTTTGTACAACTGAGCCCGCCCAACAGTGGTCAGCTCTTGATTATGGCCTTCCTTTCGACCTCGCTGTGCAGATTGCCTCCCACTCCTGGATAGTGAGGTTTTCTCACTCCTCACTTTGGCCAAGGGCCGGTCACCCTTGAGCATGCACTATAGAGTCTAGTCTTGTCACACTAAGCCTTGTAAGTTTCTCAGGCACTGCCTGTCTTCCGTCTAGGGACGCCTTTCCTGCCTGTCCTTAGCCGGGCATGCTCATTAATGAGTGCCAGTTGCTATCCTTCCCCTTTGACCATCTTTAGAGATCCTTCTAGGTCCTCGGTTATATTGCATGCATCTCCCCCCCCCCCTCACTATCAAGTTACTATGGTACTATACTGGTATGAATCAGCTGAACTATACCTGACCCATTTTTTTCTGGGTAAAAATGGTCAAACCGTTGGTAGATATCAGCTCCTCATTCCAACACCATCAGAAACAAAACACTGTGAGTGAGATGAGGAAGGGCAGGCAAAAAATATTCACCTAGTGGTTTGGGACATCAGGTCAATTGAGACACCTCTTTCCTCTTGGCTCGATGGAAGAGCTTGGATCACGTTGACCCAGTGTGACTGTTTTCCACTGGGTTGCATTTTAAATCATTTCAACCCAAAGTGGATGGGTTGCTATACTTTAAGAATTTTAGGGATTATTTTGACTTTTGGTTTTTGTTTGTTTTGTTGAGACAGGGTTTCTCTGCCTTAGGTTTCTCTTGCTGGGGTAGCCAACTGAGGATTTAGAAAAGTAGCCTGGCTACTTCCTAAAGAAAAGACAGCCCTGGCTGTCCTGGAACTTGCTCTGTAGACCAGGCTGGCCTTGAACTCACAGATCTGCTTGCCTCTGACTCCCAAGTGCCAGGATTAAAGGCGTGTGCCACCATGCCCAGTGTTTTCTTTTCTCAAGGTCTCATGCCATATCTCACTCCCATATGCTAGGGCTAATCATACGTGCTGTTCTGTTTCTTGGTGTTTTTGCAAAAAGAAATATTATGCCACTATATGTTTTAAACATGTGCAATGTGAACTGTGTTTTATACTAAGATTTCAAGACTGGTCCAAGTAGCTTCTCTGTCCCTTCTATTGCCTTCCTTGTCATGCTTTACCCTCTCATGGCCACCACCAACACAGTACAGTCCTCAATCATATGCCCTAGGCAGTGTGTCACAAACACCTGTCACCTTGGAGTCTTGGAAAATACAGTCTTGCCCTAGCTCAGCAGATCTAAATGGAGATGTAAAATCTTTTTTTTTTTTTCAGATGTAGTCTCATGTAATCCAGTCTGGCCCCAAACTAGATATGTAGCCGAGGATGGCCTTGAACTTTTGCTCCTCCTGAGTTCACTTCCCAAGTGACAGGATTACAGACAAGACCTTCCATGCCAAGTTTGTGTTGTGCTAGGGATCAAACCCAAGGCCACATGCTGAGCAAACTACTAAAATGAACCACATTCTTAGCCCCCCTGAGTCTGCATTTTTAATTTAATTTTTTATATGTATGAGTGCATATATATATATATATGTATGTATATATATATATATGTACCACATGAGTGCCTGGTGCAGGCAGCGTCATCTGATCCTCTATAATTGAAGTTACAGATGGTTGGGAGCTGACATGTAGGTTCTGAGGACTGGACCTGGATCCTCTTGCAAGAGCAAGTGTTCTTAACTGCTGAGCCATTTCGGCAGCCCCACAGAGTCTCTATATAGCTGAAAAGCTACAGGATGCCTAGACTGCACTGTTTGGAACCACATGGCAAAGAGCAAGGCCCTCAAGGACCTCTGTGAGAATTTATTTGAGTTTCTGGGTTGTAGAATATAAGAACCTCTAATTTGGTAAGGATTGCCTGTCTGCACTCCTGTTTCACTGCATTGCCCCACCCCACAGCAGCAGGTCAAGAGGGCAGGACATGTATTTTGATTGTAGGAGAGGTGAAAAGGCCTTTTTTGTTCTCACCTGCATTTCATCCCCTGAATATGGTATTAATACCTCCTCTTCTTTTAATTAGAATGGCCTAAGGTCTCTGGAGTGATGTCTCTGGCCAGTGACTATGGTCCAGGCTAGACCTCTTCTTAGTCTGTTCCCACCACAGACGACTCTGAAGCCTCAGCGATCTAGCCATCTAGACGCACTTGACTTAACACGTCACTAGGCCTCGCTTCCTCTCTAACAGGAGCCATAGGATTTTCATTAAGTTGTATTTTCTCCAGTCCATATGATTTTCTCTTTACTAGCCTCTTAAAGTGCTCTGGGACACAAACAGCCTGGCCTTGGCACTGGTGAGTGCTTATCCTGCTCCTAATAAAAATCAATCTCTCTCCCTCCCTCCTTCCCTTCCTCCCTCCCTCCCTTCCTCCCTCCCTCCCCCCCCTCTCTTTCTCTCTCTCTCTCTCTCTCTCTCTCTCTGTGTGTGTGTGTGTGTGTGTGTGTGTGTGTGTGTGTGTGTGTGTGTGTATACCATTAGGGGCTAGTTCAGGCACTTCACCTTACAAGCCAGATGCCTCAAAATCTATGTCTTTGTTATATCCAGGTAGAAAATGAAGTTCAGAAAGACTGATCAGGGCTAGGAATGTAGCTCGGTTGATAGAGTGCTTGCCTAAGATGCAGGAAACCTTGAATTTGATCACTGGCACCAAATAAACCAGGCATGGGAGCATATCCCTGTAATCCTAGCCCTTGGGAGGTAGGGGCAAGAGGATCAGAAGTTCAAGGCCATTCCCAGCTACATAGTGAGTTTGGGGACATTCTGAACTACATGGGGTGGGGGGCAGATGGACAGGCAGACAGATGAGGAATAGCTCATTCATGGAGCAAGAATGTGATAGTCCTGGCATTACCGCAATGGTAACCACAAAGCTTCAGCATCCCCATGTCTAGCCTTGGCACATGGCCACACTGCAGGGGGAACTACAAAGAGAAGGACTGGCTTGGGGTTTTAGGCGCTGAAACTATCGACCAGTATGAAGATGTCTTCCAGTAAAACGGAGTTCTAAAACTGTGGCAGGTTTTGGCCAAAATGAACCATGACTCAAGGTGTATGAGTGTTTAGATGGCAGAAGAGTTTTTTTCTGCCTAGAGCTTCAGAAGCAGTGATTTTAAGGTTAGCTATAAAACAGATAGATCCAGGAAGCAGCAGGGATTGGGTCGAGGGCAGGAGTGGATGGACACTGAAGTCTGAGCCTCAGCTGTGGGCAGATTGTCTAACATGTCTGCCACTTTACTTGGTAACTGATACTCACAGCTTTGTGTGGAAGGCTCAGCGATAGGTAAATGGCCAGACTCCAGGGAAGTATGGGTGGTCAAAGCCCTCTGATGGAAGCAGTCTGCTTAATCAATTCTGGAAATCCCTGAGCTATTATTTTCCCACTCACACAGCCTTGCACACATTTCCTGGCACCAGGCTCCAGCTTAAACTGTTGTACAACCCATAATTCAGTACCTGCCTAGCCTGAGGCCATGGGACACATAGCCTTTCACGTTTCATCACACTGTCCATAATGTGTCAATTTTTTAGGGCTGGGACTCCATACATGACAGAGTTTTTGTGGAAGCCTAGCTTCTGAATCAAAAGGCCTTTTGAGCTTAGTGTTCTTGGAGTCAAAACATCTTCACTGCTGTTTGCCCCTACAACATACTTTTCATAAAACCAGGCATGGTGGCACAAGTTTTAATCCCAGTACTCTGGACATAGATAGAGACAATAGGATTAGAAATTCAAATTCATCCTCAGCTAAATTGTTCAAAGCCATCCTGGGCTTCATGAGACCCTGTTTCAAAACAACAACAAAAGCAACATATTTTGCAAATAGATACTGACTTTTGATCAAAATAACTCCATGAAAACATTGGGGCTCACTTAACACCAAGGCTCAAAAGTAGTGAATTGGCCAAGATATGGGTGGCTGAAATAGGACTTTGATTTTTTGTAACAGGCCTGGTGGCTCTTTAAAAAAAAAAGAGTATGGAGAGTGGAGTGTGTGCTTGTGCACAAAGCCTTGGGTCCAGTATACACACACACACATATACATACACACACACACTTACACACACACTCACACATATACACACACATGCACACACACACAGACACACACAAACACACACATACACACACACTTACACACACATATACACACACATACACACATGCACACACACACAGACACACACACACAGACACATACACACACACACACTTACACACACACACTCACTACCATGATCGGCCTCTTTGGCCTCTTTCCCATTTCTGGGAGGTGAGTGAGGTGAGATTCCCCAGCTATCTTTCTGACAGTAAGACCCATTCCAGAGTGTGTGCTCCTCCTGGAAGTAGAAAGAGGATCCGTGACAAATCCAGCCAAGTCCAGGGGTGTGTAGGTGGAAACGCTCAGGAAGCCTGAAGCTGGGAGGGCTGAGGTGATGTGACAAAAAGATTCTGCCAGGAAGACCACGTGATGTTACCACATCCACACGGGTGCTCTCAGTGGTTTGTCCAAGCTCTTGTCTTGCTAAACTGTCTGTCCTGTTCCTGACACCAATGTGGGTTTAAGGTAGATGCCCAGAAGCCAGACCCCACTTGTGTGTGTGATTGAAGGTCTGAGGTCTGTTGAAGTTCCGCTGCCCTCCCTCCCCACGGGGCTCAGGCCCTAGGCCAGGGCTCAACAGACACAGGCAGTAAGATGGGGTTGCCCTTCTATTGGTCCAAGTCCTGAGTGTAGCCTGGGTGAGTCATGGAGGTGAGGAGGCCCACGAGGCTCAGCAGTGTGGAGAAGAGTAGCAGGAAGGAGGCAGCGAAGAGCAGAGCAGGCAGGGCACTGAGGACAAGCAGCAGGATAGCTGGCAGCAGGTGGCTCCACATCACAGCCACCACGGGCCATAGGGAGCTCAGCAGGTGGGAGCCCGTGGTGAAGAGTGCATGACATAGCATCAGTGCCAGCAGCAGGTAGAGTGTCCCTTCCAGACCCCATAGCATACGCTGTAGTGGTTGCCGCCAGCCTGATGTATTCCACCACTGGGTCCAGCTCCGAGGTATGTGGCATGCCCACCAGCGCACCCAGTCCTGACGGATGACCCAGGCTGACCAGGGCACTGCCCGCTGGGGCCCCTCGCCAGCCCCGATGATATCCGTCTCCACTCGTGGCTGCTGCATCACGGCTGGTGCACCTGTGGACGGGGCCAGGCCAGCTGCAGGAGCAGCCCTGGAGATGCCCAGGACCTCTGGATAGGTGGGCATGCAGGGGTCAGGAGGATACTAGCATGGGCAGGATTGGGCTTCGAACTGGGGCCTAAGACTTACCTTTGGGCAGAGCCACCTAAGTCATGGTGTTTCCTGTTGTGCCTAGGCTGGCCTGGCAGACAGGTCCCAGTCTTACCCTCGCTCACCCCACCGTCCCCAAAGGAGTGCATTATGACCCGGGCTGGGGTGGGGCCCAGCCAAGAGAGGAGCTATTGCATAGTGTGAGAGTCACTTATGTCCTTTACTCAATGGCCCCTCCAGGCTGGCAGGACAGCTCAGTAAGCCTTACGGATACCATTCTCCTTGCTTGTAGGAAGCCTTCCCCACACCTGTCCCTCCTTGATGGCTGCCTCCAACTTCGTGGCTGGAGTTGATTGCTGTAACTACCCTTTTCTCTGCCTTCTCTTAATGCCCTCACCCTCAGATCCAGTTGTCAAATGTCCATATTATAGAACTAGAAGGCCCTGAGGTTCAAGCTGAATATAATGGACTATTCTATCCTTACTACACCACTTTACCCTCATGTAGCTCAGGATGGAGAAGAAATCTGAGAGCAGATTGGATGATGTATTTTTAGAAGGCATTCAGCTTTAGGAGGGCTCTCAGGCCCAAGGATGGATACAGAAAGCTAGGCCCAGCATGGCTAAGGGTATACCAGAGCCTCCCAAGATCAGGCCCAGGCCCAGGAACAGCAGGAGCAGTGCATCCTGGAGGCTGAGCAGTCTTGAGACTGTCCCTGCTGGGGAGAGGGGAGCTGCTTGCTGTCCTGGACCCTCACCAGCCCCCTGGCTCTGACCCACTGGGAGAAGTCTGTGTCGCGGCAGGTTGCAACCTGTGGACCTGTGGAGAGAGAAGATGGCAGCTTGAGGCAGTTGCTTATCTGTCCCTGTGCTTGCAACACCTACCTGACAAGTGACACTTACCCATGGAACAGGTCAAAAACGAGGAAACTGGTCAGCAACAGCAGCAGCAGGGCCAGGCCAGCCGTTGAGAAGATGGTTTGAATTGTCACTCCTAGTGCCCCCAGCCCTAGGATACTGTCCAGAAGCTGGGCCTGGCTGAAGTCCCAGGGGACACACATGGCTCACTGACCCTACTCAATCCCTCTTCAGTATCCAGACCCCTGGGAGGGAGTAGGATGGACCTAGAGGAGCTTCGGGCATGGATAAGCAGAGGTGCGTCCTGGGGTTGTTAGGAAGACCTAGTGCTAGGAGATTAGGGATCAGGGAAGGGAAGAGGGCCTTGGCATACACTCAAGGGTGAGCTCACTGAGTGAGGAACTAGCCTCTTTGGGGATCTCCCTCCCCCAACTCCCACCCCACATCTTCACCAACGCTCCTCACCTCCTCCCACTTGGGTCAACCATTCTAGATTTGGACACCCTGGGGGGCATTGTGACCTATTATCAGGTAAGACCTTGAATTAAGGAAGAACAACAGTTTGTCTTGCCTCATAACCACTGGTGGCCTAGGTGGGGCTTAGCTAGCAAATCAATGTTTTCTGAGAACTAAGACTCATCCACTTGCCTTGGCTAATAATTCTCTGCACCAGGGACTTCCCACCGGTTCTGGGATGTCAGGAAACCATGCTAAAACAACAGCTGCTTGGACTTATGCATCTTCCAAAATGTTCTCCAGGCTGCGTGTCTAAGATGTCATTCAGGCATTCAATTTTTCTGTATCCAGTTCCCTTCCCTGAGAGTGGGGTGAGGCCTGTGGGGTTTTGATGGTAGGGGGAAAATCAGGTTTGCAACTCTGGGATGCAGAATAGACTTTTCTAGAATACAACCTAGGCCATGGGGCAGGGGTGGGGAAGGGCAAGAGGATCCTATTTAGATGTTTTAAGCACTGCAGTTTTGGGAGGTATTACGGTTTCTGCAATGGGACAGAGAGCTGGGCATGGTGGCATATGCTTTACTTTCAGTACTCAGAAGCCTGAGACAGAAATATTGTGAGTTTAAGGCCAAACTGAACTATATAACAGGATGCTGCCCAGGAAATTAAAAAAACAAAACAAAACAAAGAAAAAAAAAGAGGTCTTGAATCTAAGAGTATTACAACATCATGACTTCAAGTTGTTTTGAAACAGGGTTTCTTCATGTGTTCCAGGCTAACCTTGAAATCACCATGTAATACAGCTGCTCTGTAACTTGGTGATTCCCCGTCTCATTCTCCTGAGTGCTAGGATTGCAGGCAGGCACCACTATGCCTCACATAAGATCCAAATGCAAAGTTAAGACCACCACTGAAGAATGAAATTAAGGAATGATCATGGAATAAATGGATTTGTCACCATTACTGATTATAATTATTCAATGAGAATGAACTTATTCCCACTTAATCAATGGCTGGGAGTGGCTACAGAGCTACTGAATATATGGTCGGTTTGGTGACAAAAGACAGGAGTAGAAATGACATCAATTTAAATATTACTCACACCTTGAAGGAAAACTGAAGGAGTTGGAGCCAGGGAGACACTGACAATATAGCACCCAGGAAAGGAGAGGTTGTGAGAAAATGATAGAGCATTAAGCTGCCCCTGGGACGCCCCACCCAAAGACCCCGGTCGTCTTGACATGTTTGGTGTTGATGGACTTGACAGACCATAGAGCCAGAGTCATTTGTTCTTAATGTCACTAATGTCACTCACCAGTGGCTCTTCCACTGGCTTTTGTTTCTTGGGAACTGTGTTTCTGACATAGATTTGCCTACAGGGACACAGGCTATAGTAGAAGATCCTGTTTTTTGTCTAAGTCTCAATTGTCTTTGTACATGAGAAAATTAACATTCAGGTTTAAAATTGCCAGTTCCACTAGCCTGCTCATTTCTGGTGCAGCCACAAGATTGTATCCCTGGACTATGGAATTAAGAGTCAGGTCCTGACTGATCTACAGAGACAAAGTAGTCCACATATGCAAGGGGTCGGGAGCAGGGTGTGTGACGAAAGATGCAGTGCGAGCAAGGTGCTCTGCGTACTCTGCAGGAGAGTTCTACTTAGGGTTTTCTCAGGCTCTTCTTCATTCGGCAATCATTTCTGATGTGATCCCCGTGTGTCAGGTCTCCAGCCTCTGTTGGGTTCTAACTCCTAGGGCAGACCATGACCTTTTAGACCAATGTTCTGAAAGCCTGAGGTAGTTCTCAGAAGGAAAAAAAAAGATAAGGAAGGAGGAGAACAGGGTAGAGGAAAGAGCTAAGCCAGAGTACAGTCTTGTCTGGGGTTCAGCCTCAGCCTGACTGTACAGACAGCTCTGAGAAAAGTGAATTGTGCTGTAGAGTAGATCCATCATTTCAGCTAATGGTGATTGGAGGACAGGGAAGAGGGAGATAAAGTCAGAGAACTGAATCTCTCAGCCTGAAAAGCAATGCCTTCTGCTGAAGGCTCTTGTCTGCAAAACGCAGCAAACATCCATGATCTATGAACTGCAAACAACAGTAAGGGTAGGCACATTGTTGATAAAGGGACCTCAGTGGGAAGTCAGCAAGACCCATATGGCAGTGGATCTTGTGTAGTGAAGGATTCAACAAACCTGGATTATTTGTATCATGCTCATTCATGAAAGCTGTTTGTTGGGAGCTGGAGAAAGCTTGGTGGTTAAGAGCACTTCCTACACGTCCAGAGAACTAGAGTTCTGTTCCTAGTTCCCACATCAGGTAGCTCACAACTGCCTGTATTACAACTCCAGCTCCAGGTGATCCAATACCTTCTTTGGGCAACCTGCATACACATGAGTATATGTATTTTTTTTTAAAACTTCAGAATTGGTTGGCTCTTACTGGGCTCTCTAAGGAGCTAGTTTCTAAGTCCTTGAGATATCCTATTCAAAGTAAGCATCTCTGTTTACACCGAAGTCTTAGACCCTATTAATATTCTATGTCAACAATATGATTTTTTGGGGGGACTTAGACCAGAAACTAGGCTTACCTTGGATTCTAGAAGGTTTGCTCAACCAACATCTACAGTCAGCTATACTTGTATGACTGATCTTCCGATAAAATTCTGAACACCGAGCATCCAGTGAATTTCTCTCACTGACAGCACTTGGTACCTGCTGTCAAATATACTGCTGGAAAAATAAGTACTGCCTACCATTTTCAGATGAACAACTGGAAGCTCACACTCAGTCTTTCCTGTACTTGCCTGCTGTACATTATTCTTTTGTTGGTTTTAATCTGCCTGCAACCTTTCTTGGTCATAAGCCATGACCATTAGTATAACCACTTCTGTGAATTGTGATGAACCATTGAGCAAGAACAGCTTTGGCATCCGAAGTAGGATTCACTGGAACAGTGGTAATTCATTAAATGTGATGGAATCACGAGTTGAGAAGAAGGATAGGAGGGAGAGATTCCCAGATGGCTACTTAGTCACCCATAGCTTGGAAATGAAGCAACTCCATGATGGAGGTCAAAGCTATCAGTAGAATTTGTTAATGGCAGAGTTAATCCTGGGGGAATTGTTTAGGAACCTGTCCAGAAAGTAGGATAATAAACAAAACCCTCAAGAAACTAGAAAAAGTTCACAAAAATAGAGGAAGAATACTTGAAAGTTAGTTTTGGAAATTTCAAATACAAAAAAAAATATAATGCAAAACTTTTTTTCTGGTATAGTGAACTTTAGTGATGTTATTCAAGGGATAAGCTCCCACTTCTGGGGACCCGGAATGAAAGCTGTGACAGGAGATCTAAGAAGGTTGGGAGGTAACCAGGCAGCATACACTAGTGATAGGAGACTCCCAACACACACAGCAGAGGACTGCCTGGTCTGGGCTCAATGAGAGAAGATGCACCTAACCCTTGAGAGACTTGAGGCCCCAGGGAGTGGGGACGTCTGGTGCCATGGGGATTGGGGGGTGGGACATCCTCTTGGAGAATGGTGGGAGTTGCAGGGGAGGAGGTATGGGATAAAGAACAGTCAGAGGACAGACCAGGAGGGGGATAAAGACTGGACTGTAAAAGAAGATTAAAGAATTAAAAAAAATTTTTTTTAAAGAATGTTGGGGTCTGAATTTAGAGAGGGACTCCCCAGCAGTCAAGGGCCTCTCTCTTCCTTTCTTGTTCTTTCTGGTGGGTGTTCCAGGGCTTCTTACTCCTCAGAGGCCATGTGAACCATAAGCTCCACCAGTAGCTGAATCGAGCTTGACAAATGAGCTTAGAAATGAGCTTGACAAAGTTGTTATTGAGAACAGTGCCAGCCCCAGCATCAAGAGGGAAGAAGTGTTAAAGTCACAAGTAACCACCTGTTCCTCCTCCTACAGTCCCCAAAGACCTCGTAGGGCCCTTGGATGCCTGCTCCTCTACCTTTTAAAAACAATTTAAATTTATTTTGTATATGGCTGTTTTGCCTGCATGCATGTCAGTGTACCGTGGAATGCCGGGTACCCACAGAGATCAGAAGAAAGATTGGCAGCTTTCTCAAGGTGGCAGGTCAGATCTACAACAGACACATTATGGGCAAGAACATGGAAGGCCATGCCAGTGAGCTTCCTGCTCAGCTCTGGGATGACCTTGCCCACAACCTTGACCGTGTCAGTGGATGCAGGGATGATGTTCTGGGCAGCCCCACGGCCATCACACCACACTTTCCCAGAGGGGTTGTCCATGATGTTTTGAATGGTGGTGGTGTCATGTTCTGTGATACCTTAGTTGTCATGGATGACCTAGGCTGTGTCGGGGGGTGGGGTTGGGGGTGGGGGTTAGCAGTTGGTGGTGCAGGAAGCATTGCTGACAATCTTGCGTGAGTGTGGTACTTCTTATGGTTCATTCCCATCACAAACATGGAGGCATCAGCAGAAGGGGCAGAGGTGATTACTTTTGCCCCCACCCTTCAAGTGGACCCTGGCCTTCTCCATCATGATGAAAACACCAGGTGATTCCACAGTATACTGGCACCAGCATAACCTCATTTGGTGATGGCAGGATCCTGCTCCTGGAAGATGGAGACTGTCTTCCCATTGGTGACAAATTTCCTGTTCTCAGCCTTGACTATTCCAGGGAGCTTGCCATGGGTGGAATCATACTGGAACTTGTAGACCATGTAGTTGAGGTCATTGAGGTGACAATATCCACTTTACCAGCGTTAAAGCAGCCCTAGTGACCAGGTGCCCACAGAGCCTAAATCACATAACTTAATAAGCTGGATGTGGTAGTCCATGCACAGCTGTAATTCCAGCACTCTTTAGGCAGAATCAGGAGGCTCAGAAAAGTCCAAGGTCATTCCCAGTACATAGACATCAGTCTGGGAGTGGTTGTTTGAAAGAAAATGACTACCATAGGCCATAGAGGGTGGCATTATTAGGAGATGTGGCTTTGTTGGAATAGGTTGTCTTTGTAGTAGGAGG